TAGAATCCACATATCTTCCACCGTGCGTAGAGAGACAGCTTCCTGGGGTGTCTCAGCAAGGTTGTTGATCACACCGTGTCTTGGGAACCCGTTGCTGTATTTCTTGTAAATTTCAACACCAAAGGCTTGTCAGTCTTGTCCACCTTGTAGGTCACCGGATCTGCAGGTGCAGCTGCTTTCACTCTACTCCAATGGATCCAAGATTTTCCTTCCAGGGTTTTCACTGCCAAAGGAGAACACATGACAACAGTATACGGTCCTTTCCATCTTGGGCTCAAGGGATCTGATTTCCAGTGCTTTACCCACACTCTGTCTCCAGGCTTGAACCCATGTGTTGCTGTAACCACTGGAGGGGGTTGTTGTTCCATCATATAATGGCGCAATTTTGAAACGGCCAAATTATGAAGCTGTAACTGATGTAACAATTTCTGTTGATCTACTCCCCCTTTATGTGCCAAATCGGGCCATCCTTGACTGTCAGGTTTAAACAGGCAAGGAGGACGGCCAAACATGAGCTCATAAGGACTAAGTTGTAATTTAGTGTGGGGGGCCAGTCTGATTGCATACAAAACCATAGGCAAAACATCTGGCCAATGTAGATGAGTTTCCAAACAAAATTTGGTAATAAGTGTTTTAATTGTCCTATGGGATCTTTCCACTCTAGCAGCCGATTGAGGGCGGAAAGCACAATGAAATCTCCACTTAATTCCTAATGCTTGGGCTAAAGCCTGATTGATTTGGTGTACAAATTCAGGGCCATTATCTGATGTAATCCTAGAAGGGCAACCAAATCTAGGAATAATTTCTTTAAGAAATATTCTGGCAACCTGATTAGCTTTCTTATTTACAGTTGGAAATGCTTCAATCCATCCTGAATAGGTATCAATTATTACTAACAATGCTACATATTTCTTACTTCTAGGCATGTCAGTAAAATCAACAACAACATAGTCCATAGGAAAATAAGCGATTGGTTGTCTGCCAGGTGGTATTACTGGTCCTTGGCGTGCATTGGTTTGGGCACAAATGGTACATTGAAAACAAACATCTGCTATTAGCGAAGAAGCAAATGGAATATAAAAAAACCGTTCAAGTTGCTGTAATAATGCAGTTTTTCCCAAATGATGTTGCTTGTGTGCCTGAAAAATAAGTGGGCGAGCAAGTGCCAAAGGGACAGCAATGCGTCCATCAGGTAAAGTGTACCAGCCTTTAACTAGTTTGGCTTGTACATCTTGTTGTAATTTTTGAGTTTCCTCCCTCGTATATGTAGGATCAAGTTGTTCTAAGTAAGTGTCTAGATACATGAACCTTGTGACATCTGATTGGAGAGGGGGACCTTCTAATGCAGCTTTTTTTTGCTTCTTTGTCTGCCTTCCTATTGCCCTGGGTAATACGGCTTGAGTCTTTTTGATGTCCAGGACAATGGATGATTGCAACTTTGGATGGCAATTGTGCTGCCTTGATAAGTCTTTTAATCAAAGTTGCATATTGGATAACTTTGCCTGTGGAATCCAAATATCCTCTCTCTTTGTAGATAGCCGCATGTGCGTGTATTGTCAAAAATGCATATTTACTATCTGTATATACATTTAAAGTCCTTCCCGCTGCTACTTCTAATGCACGGGTCAAGGCATATAATTCTGCAAACTGTGAACTGGCTTGACTAGGCAACTGTGCTGACTCAACAATAGAAGTTTGAGAAACTATTGCGTAACCAGAGTATCTACATCCTTTATCCATAAAACTAGAACCATCAGTAAACCATTGATAGTCTGGATTATGCAAGGGTTGGTCTGTAAGGTCAGGTCTGCAAGAATATTGTAGTTCTATTGTTTGCATGCAGTCATGAACAGGTTTGTTTGAATCAGGAATTGGCATTAGAGTTGCTGGGTTTAAAGTTGAACATTGTTGCAGTGTAACTTGTGGATTTTCTAATAAAAGAGCCTGTATTTTATGCATTCGTTGATTACTTATCCATAAATGTCCTTTATTATCAATGATTGTCTGCAAGGCATGACTAGTATAAACAGTCACTGGAGCTGAAAAGGTTAACTTGTTTGCCTCCTGCAGTAATAGCATAACTGCTGCTAGAATTTTTAAACACTGGGGCCAGCCTTGTGAAGAAATGTCCAGGTGTTTTGACAGATAAGCGACAGGGCGGTTCCAACTTCCCTGTTTTTGTGTAAGGACCCCTAAAGCTACATTTTGTCTTACATCCACATAAAGTGAAAAAGGCTTAGATATATCAGGTAGTCCTAGGGCAGGGGCTGTGGTGAGAGCCTGTTGCAATTGTCTCATGGCTTGGGTTTGTTCCTCTTGCCACAACAGAGGTTCTTTTTCTGGTCCCCTTAAAACTTGGTACAATGGTTTAGCTGTGAGAGCGAAGTTAGGAATCCAAATTCTACAGAAGCCTGTAATTCCCAAAAAGGCTCTAACTTCCTGTTTTGTTTGTGGAATGGGAATCTGTAACACAGCTTGCTTTCTCTGGGGGCCCAAAGTTCTTTGTCCTTGTGAAAGTTCATAGCCTAAATACATTACAGTCTCTTGAATTAATTGTGCTTTCTTTTTGGATGCTCTATAACCACAGTCTTGTAACAATTGGAGCAGTCTGGACTTGTTTTCAAAGCAATCCTCCCTGCTTTGGCCAGTTACTAAGACATCATCGACATATTGAAGGCAACAATCCTCTTGTCTGACTAACTTCAGATAAGCAAGATCTTGGGCTAGGGCTTGACTAAACTATATTTTTAAATATACGGCTACCACAAGGATTTGATTGCTTGCCAATGGATTTATTTAGGACAGATCTGGTGGCTCCCGTGTCAACTAGCATCGGGACAACCTGTCCTCCCACCCTTATTTTAACAATGGGCTCTGGGGGTGGGCGATAGAACCCTGTCCTCTTCAGTCTTCCCATTCCAGTTCAGCTAAGCCGATCATGTTTTCTTCTCTTTCCTCTGTCTGATTGGGATAAACTGGATGCTCTCTTCCTTTGAAGCTCTTTCTGAAGCCTCTCTGGAAAGTCCCTCTAAATCCTCTTCTTCTTCCATACTGGCGAGATTGTCCCCTGGGTTGGCCATTCCTCTGGAGGCACTCCCTTTGCCAGTGTCCTTCTTGTTTACAGATGGCACACTGATTGGGTCCTAGACATGTTCCTCCCAATGCCACGGTTAACATTTCAACTTTCTTTTTTTTCTTTTTGATCTGATTTGCGTTCCTCCTCCCTGTCACGGTTACGGAACATACTGAAGCATTGAAATGTTAGTGTTATCTGGTCCAGGAACCAACACCTCTCTTAGAGGGGCAATATTTTCTTCTGTTTTTATTTCTAACTTGCTCCTGGTGCGGCTAGAAACTGAGGTTTCACTTTCAAAGTTATTCAAGCTTTTATCTGTTTCTTGAAGGGATTCAGCTGTTGCTAATTTTCCTTCCTCACCGGCTTCTGGCTGAAATTGGGCTTCTCTTTCAGGCAGAGGGAGTGGAATTTGCTGATTTATTCTCCCTTCTTCTCTTCTAGGAACGTAGGGGGTGGTCTGGCAATTTCCTCCCTATCTTCCTGGCTGAAAATCTTAGCTTTTGTTTGAGGCTTGGCTTTTTGGCTTGCCAAATATATCTTTGCACACTCTATCTGACATTTTGCTAACCATCTGGGTTTTTCTGCAATGTTGATTTTCCATAGGGGTGCTGGTCCCAATAACCATTTCCAGTCACAATTTGATGAACCCGTGCAACGAGTTCGGGATTCGCCGATCCCATTTTTGGCCACCCTACGCCCAGGGCAGTCCACTCAGATTCACAGAATCTTTTTAACATGGCTGGATTTGGTTTTGGATCTCCATAATCCCTAGAAAAACCATTTTTGAAATTCTTTAACATGCACTGGAGTGGCGTCTGGTCAACGCTCTCCTTTGACTTTTTCCCACCCATTTCTCTAATACACTACCATCGATCACTCAACATGAGCTACAATGGTTTAACCTCCCACACACTCCTGCCTATTGAAGGCTTAAGGACGCCACCTTTGCCTTCTAGGGGGTGATCAGTCCCCTCTTCCGATCCAAAAGGGATCAGGTTTCCCCTGTTTTACAATACTTGCCTGCAGGCGTTTTCCAGACGCCTTTGTTGATTTAAGATCTGTCTGTCACCCTCATGGATCCTCAGACTGGAATGCTTCCTGATGGGTTAATTCCCTTTCCTCCCGTCGAAGTCTCCTCGTAGTCAAAAGCTACGAAGCCGGCTTTGGAGCTGTCGTCGTTTAGGAGAGGGGGGGGCCCACCAGGGCAATCCGTCTTGGAAGGTTAAATCCTTTTTCTTAAAAGCCCTTAAAAATGTCCCGGCGGAGAAATCGCCATAAATCTTGTGGAAAAATAAAGCCTTAAAAAAAATAAAGGGCTTTTACGAAATTCCATGGGTGAAAGAGAGATCTTTATTTTTGCGCAAAAAGGTTCAGAAGTGATTTAACAATCAGCAAATTTCTGAACAAGGGGGGGAGGGTCTAAACTAAAGCTTTATAGGTTTCTTTCTCTCAGGAACAAAGGAAGCATAGATGGAATCTTACATTGTATATGGAATCTACTTTTGTGTAACATTCAGATAGTTTCTCACACGTTAGGTCCATTTCTCATGGGAATACAATGAAGGCAGTTTTTACTTTTATACAATGTTTCTAAATATGCATTAGGTCATCCATGTACTGTTAATACAGCTTTTGGCTAACACAGCTTTCTTTCAGAGATTATGCAGACACATGATTTTTGCTTTTAGTGATTTTTCATTATTATTATTATTTTTTTTACTTTTCCCGCGCCAGCACCCGCGCATGCGCACAGCGCTGGCGACAGCCTGTCTGGTCCCGGGCAGCTTTGCACCTGCCCGGGACTGCCTGCAAACGCCCGAGCCGTTTGCACGGCTCGGGACATAACAGATAGATAGATAGATAGATAGATAGATAGATAGATAGATAGATAGATAGATAGATAGATAGATAGATAGCTGAGAGAGAGGGGGGGGGGAGGATGCCGCTTCCAGAAGTCCATTCTGGGCCTGGGCAACAAAAAATTAGCTACCAGTTCTGCTGAAGTAGTGCAAATCGTTTGAATCCCACCACTGGATGGAGGGCCCCGAGTCCTCACTCCGGCTGCCAGGACGCCCCAGAGGCTGGAGGACTCCAGGCGCTGTATTCTCCGTTATCCAGGAAGTCTTTCGCGGCTACTTGGATGTGGTAGTTTACACCAGAACGGATCCCAATGAGGGTAAAGGAGGTCTTCTCGATAGGCCTGGTCTGGGGAAGCAAAGAAAAATACAGGTTAGAATAGAACAGAATAGAATAGAATAGAATAGAATAGAATAGAATAGAATAGAATAGAATAGAATATAGATGGGATGGGATAGAATAGAATAGAATAGAATAGAATAGAATAGAATAGAATAGAATAGAATAGAATAGAATAGAATAGAATAGAATAGAATAGAATAGAATATAGATGGGATGGGATGGGATAGAATAGAATAGAATAGAATAGAATAGAATAGAATAGAATAGAATAGAATAGAATAGAGCTGGAAGGGACCTTGGAGGTCTTCTAGTCCAGCCCCCTGCTCGAGCAAGAGAACCTATATCATCTCAGACAAGTGACTGTCTAGTCTCTTCTTAAAAATCTCCAGTGATGGAGCACCCACGATTTCTGGTGGCAAGCTGTTCCACTGGTTAATTGTCCTCACTGTCAGGAAGTTTCTCCTCAGTTCCAGGTTGCTTCTCTCTTTGGTCAGTTTCTAACCATTGTTTCTCGTCCTGCCCTCTGGTGCTTTGGTGAACAATCTGGCCCCCCTCTGCCTTGTGGCAGCCCCTCAAATACTGGAACACTGCTATCAAGTGTCCCCGTTACTTCTTTTCTTTAGACTGGCCAAACCCAAGTCCTGCAGCCGTTCTTCGTATGTTTTAGTCTCCAGGCTTGGATCATCTTAGTTGCTCTTCTCTGTGAATCCCCTTTGAATATAAAAACTGCTATAAAACCGTAATCGGGGCCTCGGTAGCTTTCAAAGCTGAGGTCACTTTTATCTCTTGGTACCAAAATAAAAGTTTTTTCATATCTTGGGTTTGGTGATCAGTTGGCTTCAACACCAAGCTAAGACCCAGTTTTGGGAACAACAGTATGACTCGTGAAACTGCCTTGCTTAGCAACAGAAATCTCGGTCCCAATTGTACCTGCAAGTCATGGATTGCCTCTATTGCAAAGAACTAACAATACATCATATTAAATATTAACATTATTATGAAATAATTAATAAAAAGAGAAGTTCAGGTCAGAGGTTCAGGCTATTCAGGAAATAACTGTGGGGAGTGACTGCCAGCTCCCTCACTCACCGTTCTGATTTGCCTGGATCCGTCCCTCGAATAACGGATGACATATTTCAGGGGGAAATATTCAGGATATAACCAGGAACTAGGAGCCTTCCATTGCACAAGCAATGTTTTCGTCTTCCCTTGGATTGGGGAGACCGTTATGTTTTCTGGAGGGTCTGGCCGGACTAAGAAAAGTGAAAGAGAGAATTAAATCAACCAAAAATGTCAATACAGGTAGTCCTTGACTTACAACTGTTTGTTTAGTGACCGTTTGAAATTACAGTGGCCCTGAAAAAAGCGATTTATGATCGTTTTTCACACAACCGTTGCAGCATCCCCTATGGCAGGGGTAGGCAACCTTGGCTCTTTTATGACTCGTGGACTTCAACTCCCAGAATTTCTGAGCCAGCCATGCTGAGGGGAAAGGGAGAGGTTTCCAAGTCATATAAGAGCAAAGTTTGCCTTCCCCTGATCTAGGGGGATCCACTGGCCATATAAGGAGGCTTGATCCCTTGATCTAGGGCAGGGGTAGGCAACCTTGGCTCTTATATGACTCGTGGACTTCAACTCCCAGAATTCCTGAGCCAGCATGGCTCAGCTTGGAAGCCTGTCCCTTTCCCCTCAGCATGGCTGGCTCAGGAATTCTGGGAGTTGAAGTCCACGAGTCATAAAAGAGCCAAGGTTGCATACCCCTGATATAGGGTTTCCTGCCTGAGCCGGGGTTGGACTAGATGACCTCCAAGATCCCTTCCAACTTTATTATTATTAGTATTAGTAGTATTAGTAGTATTATTACTTGTGGACTTCAACTCCCAGAATTCGTGAGCCAGCATGGCTCAGCTTGGAAACCTCTCCCTTTCCCCTCAGCGTGGCTGGCTCAGGAATTCTGGGAGTTGAAGTCCACGAGTCATAAAAGAGCCAAGGTTGCCTACCCCTGCCCTATGATCACGTGATCAAAATTCGGATGCTTGGCAACTGGCATGTATCTATGACGGTGGCAGTGTCCCTGGGTCATGTGACCCCCTCTTTTGTGACCTTCTGACAAGAAAAGTCAATGGAAGAAGCCTGATGCATTTAACAGCTGTGTTACTAACTTAACAACCTAAGCAGTTCGCTTAACAACTGTGGCAAGGGAGGTTGTAAAATGGGGCAAAACTCACTTAACGACTGTCTCGTTTAGCAACAGAAAATTTTGGGCTCGGTTGTGCTCGTACGTCGAGAACGACCTGCCTCCAGAAGCGATGAATGCTCCAACACTGGAAGTTGTTAAGAAGAGACTGACTAGCCATTTGTTTGAAATGGTATAGGGTTTCCTGCCTGAGCAGGGGGTTGGACTAGATGACTAATTTACTTGGACTTCAGTAAGGCATTTGATAAAGTAGATCACAACCTACTACTTGACAAGATAGAAAAATGTGGGGTAGACAGAACCACCACCAGATGGATCCGTAGCTGGCTGACCGGCCGTACTCAGCGGACGTGGCTCAATGCGAACTGCATCTATATGGAGGGAAGGTGTAGTGGGGGGTTGCTCCCAGGGCTCGTTCTGGGCCAAGAGTACTCTGCAAACTATCTTTCATAACGATTTGGATGAAGGGATAGATGGGGAACTCATCAAATTTGCAGACGACACCAAGCTCGCAGGAATAGCCAACACTCCAGAAGACAGGCTTCAGATACAGAAGGATCTGGACAGACTTGAACACTGGGCACTAACTAACAAAATGAAATTCAATGGTGAAAAAAGCAAGGTTCTACATTAGGCAAGAAAAACCAAATGCACAAGTACAGCATAGGTGGCACCATGCTCAATAGAAGTAACTGTGAGAGGGACCTCGGAGTCCTAGTAGACAATCACTTAAATATGAGCCAGCAGTGTGCTGCGGCTGCCAAAAAGGCCAACACAGTGCGCTAGCTGCATTAAGAGAGGATGAATCAAGAATCACGTGACAGTATAATACCCTCTTCATTGCCTTGTAAGGCCACACTATTGGAATACTGCATCCATGTTTTGGTCACCCGATGTTAACAAAGATGTTGAGACTCTAGAAAAGGAGTAACGGAAGAGCAACAAGATGATTAGGGAAGGAGGCTAAAACATATAAGGAACGGTTGAGAGAATGTGTATGTCTAGTTTAACGAAAGAGAAGGGACAAGGGGGGGACATGATAGCAGTATTCCAATATCAAGGGGGCTTGCCATCTCAGGGGCTGCCACAAAGAAGAGTTAAGCTATTTTCCAAAGACCTGAAGGCAGGACAAGAAGCAACGGGTGGAAACTCATCAAGGAGAGAAGCAACCTAGAACTAAGGAAACTTCCCTGACAGAAACAAATTAATCAGTGGAACACGCTTGCCTCCAGAAGCAGTAAATGCTCCAACACTGGAAGTTTTTAAGAAGAGACTGGACAGCCATTTGTCCGAAATGGTGTAGGGTTTCCTGCCCGAGCAGGGGGTTGGACTAGATGACCTCCAAGGTCCCTTCCAACTTTACTACTATTACTAATTACCTCCAAGGTCCCTTCCAACTTTATTATTGTTATTAACAACCTGCCTCCAGAAGCTGTGAATGCTCCAACACTGGAAGTTTTAAAGAAGTGACTGGACAGCCATTTGTCTGAAATGGTATAGGGCAGGGGTCTTCAAACTTGGCTCTTTTAGGACTCGTGGACTTCAACTCCCAGAATTCCTGAGCCAGCCATGCTGAGGGGAAGGGAGAGGTTTCCAAGCTGAGCCAGGATGGCTCAGGAATTCTGGGAGTTGAAGTCCACGAGTCATAAAAGGGCCAAGTTTGAAGACCCCTGATATAGACTTTAAGAGGAGTGGACTTCAACTCCCAGAATTCCTCAGCCAGCATGCCTGGATGAGGAATTCTGGGAGTTGAAGGTCATAAAAGGGCCAAGTTTGAAGACCTCTGGTATAGGGTTTCCTGCCTGAGCAGGGGGTTGGACTAGAAGACCTTCAAGGTCCCTTCCAACTTTATTGTTGTTGTTGTTGTTATTATTATTATTATTATTATTATTATTATTATTATTATTATTATTATTATTACTATTATTATTATTATTATTAACTACCTGTAACTAGAAAAATAAAAGCTGGCCACATCAAGACATGAGAAATAACCTTAATGTGGAATCCCAGCTACTATTCCATGTCCCATAAAACTGTCAAATCTTCTCCTAACAGAAGGAGAGGAGGCTTCTATCCATTTTATGTCAGTTGGCTTATTCGCCCACCAAGATCACCAGTGACAATCAAGCAAATAATAAACCAATAAATAATAAACCAATAAAAGAAAGTAGGAATGGAAGTTGTATTACTATTGATGTCAAATATGTGGACCCAGACCCCACGTTGTTTATTAAGCACTAAAGATTGTAACTATAAAAACTTAATAAAATATCTATTAAAAGAAAGAAAGACTGAGACTATTCATAAGCAAAACGCCTACAGCCAGAGTTCTCATAGAAGGTTGGAGCTGATGGATTTAGAAAAACACTCCTAAAATCTACATTCCCCGCCCAGCTCCCAGGCCAGGGCGTGACCTCCCAGCCACAATGGGAGTCAGACAACAATAATTAGAATACTAAAAGGGCACACTCAAGTACAGGTCAAGGTACATTTCACAACGAACAGGCGTCTCAAACACAAAGCCCCAAAGAAGGTGTAAAAATCCACCTACTCTCAACTCCATTTTGTCAGCTGTCCCAGAACGGCAGGCTGTTGCTGGTTCTGCTCATCAATAAACAGACCTTCCTTCCTAAGCAGCTAGCCTCCATTTTATTTCCAGTGCCTTTCTCCCGGCTTGGAACTGGATCAGATTTTTCTTTCAACATATCTAACCTGTTTTAAATAAGTGGTTGAACTGGATCCACGATGGTTTGTTCCAAGATATTAAAAGGGCTATCAAACCAAATTTCTGCACCAGGACCGAACACAAAACCCTGTTTTCCTATTCTTGCTGGGGGGCACACTGTTTTAATTCCCCCATCAGAACAACTAGAGGTGAGAATTGCTTGAAAACTCACTGATCTGATCCAGGAAAACGTGGGAAAAATGACTGGCTGTCCCCAGCGGATTCACAGCTGTCACGTTGAGCCTGTAGGGATCGGTGGAGAACATCTGCAAGGCGGTCATACTGCAACTGTGGCTCCCTGCAACGGGTTGTATGCACTGATGGACTTCTTCCATTAAGCCATGCCTGTGTCCACAAGGAAAACTGGGTTCAGACATGCATTGCATATGCAGCAGCTAAAGGGTTGTATGAACGGGTGTCCCAGTGACTGCAACCAAGGGGAGAACTGTGGATTGAATCCAGAGTCAGTCCAGTTTAGGGGACTGGTGACTAAAACACACAAAGAAAGGTGGGTATGTGTGAGAAGAAGGATTACAGGTGACATGATAGCAGTCTTCCAATATCTGAAGGGCTGCCACAAAGAAGCGAGGGAGGGTGTGTAGGTGTGTGTCAAGCTATTCTCCAAAGCACCCGAAGGTAGGACAAGAAGCAATGGATGGAAACTAACCAAGTAAAGAAGCAACCTGGAACTAAGGAGGAATTTTCTGACAGTGGAAACAATTAACCGTCAAACTCCTTGCCTCCAGAAGTTGTGGGTGCTCCATCACTGAAGGCTTTTAAGGAGAGACCGGACCACCATTTATCTGAAATGGGACATGGTTTCATGCCTGAGCAGGGGGTTGGACTAGAAGACCTCTAAGATCCCTTCCTACAGACTGCAGCCCCATTCAGATGGTCTCATCAGCAGGACCGTCCCCGCTTTGTCCTTGGATGGGGGACCACCAGAAGAGTTTCAGTTGAAAGGGAAAAGGGAATGGCATGGGAGCAAGAGATTGCATTATTGCAGCTCTGGCACATGGGGGCAGGTTATACTTCTATGGCATGGGGGGGGGGGAGTCTAACCATTTTTATAGAAATGTTGACCTGACGTTTATCGGGTTAGGATTTGGTCTGTCACACGAAGTGGTCCTGGAAGACCGGTGCGTTTTGCACCACCACATCAACCAACTGTGTCGGCGGCAGGCTAGCCAGACCCTGGCCGCCGACCAAGGGGAGAGCCGAGAGCTGCCTGACAGCTGCGGCGTGTGTGAGTCTCCTGGGTCTAGCGAGACTCACAGGAACATGCTGGACGACTCAATCGTGGTTGAGCCGCCCTCGACCGAAGGAGCAGTGCCCACAGATCAGAATGTGTTGGAAGACTTGTTTCCCAGTCTTTCCGGGACTGTTCCGCTCACAGACAGAGAGAGACTGGGTTACCCGGCCAGAGTAGTCAGTTAGACCCCGGTTTACCCATAGTTAGCGGGTTGAAGAGCCCTGGTCTACCCAGTCAGCAGAGGGTAGACCGGGAACCTCCGGCAGAAATATGGCAATCAGAACGGTTGCGAAAGCCGCCTGTCTATCTACATGACTGTATTCATTGTATGGATGTGTGAATTATCCAGGGGGAAGGGGTGTTGTGTATTGACCCAATTGCATAGGGAGTGTTATAAATGGTTAGTTATAGGTTTGGGTTCAAATCCTTAACTGTCTGTGTGTAAATGCGAGCCTGTGTTTAGGCGGGAATCTTTGCTTTCATTTCATTGGCTGCCGCCTAGTGGCGGTCCGTATAAATATGAGCCAAGCGCAGCTGGGTCCTGCTTCTGTGTGAACTGAATAAACAAGCTGTTACTTTCACTCCTGTGTCTTCAATGCCTCCCCGATCCCAGTATACAACAGCTACCTTCAGTTCCTTGAAGCTGTAGAATTGATTGATTAACAAGCAATTATCTGCAAAAGGATGTTTGTCTCGGATAACTTTCCTTCCTTCCTTCCTTCCTTCCTTCCTTCCTTCCTTCCTTCCTTCCTTCCTTCCTTCCTTCCTTCCCTCCCTCCCTCCCCCCTCCCTCCCTCCTTCCTTCCTTCCCTCTCTCTCCACCCCCTCCCTTCCTTCCTTCTTTCCTTCCTTCCTTCCTTCCCTCCCTCCCTCATTCACTCCCTCCCTCCCCCTCCTTCCTTCCCTCCTTCCTTCCCTCTCTCTCCCTCTCTCCCTCCCTCCCACCCCTCCCTCCCTTCTTTCCTTCCTTCCCTCTCCCTCCTTCCCACCCCCTCCCTCCCTTCCTTCTCTCCCTCCCTCCTTCCTTCCCTCCCCCTCCCACCCTCCCTCCCTCCTTCACTCCCTCCCCCTCCTGCCCTCCCTCCCTCCTTCACTCCTTCCTTCCTTCCTTCCCTCTCTCTCTCCCTCCCTCCTCACTCCTCCCTCCCTCCATTCTTCCTCCTTCCCTCCTCGCTTTCCTACCATCCTTCCTCCCTCCCTCCATCCTTCCCTCCCTCCCTCCTTCCTTCCTTCCTTCCTTCCTTCCTTCCTTCCTTCCTTCCTTCCTTCCTTCCTTCCTTCCTTCCTTCCTTCCTCCCCCTCCCTCCCTTCCTTTCCCCTCCCTCCCTCCTTATGTCTTCCTTCCTTCCTCTCTTCCCTCCCATCTTCCTTCCTTTCTCCCTCCCTCCTTCCCTCCCTCCCATC